AGGTGAGTGATATTCTGCTGTGTATATGTACCAAGTGAAGTAAGTCAGAAAGAGAAAGACAAAGACTGAACATGAACACATTTATATGGGACTTAGAAAGATGGTATCAACGAGCCTAAATGCAGAGCAGCAAATGAGACACAGATGTAAAGAACAGACTTTTGGACTCTGGGAGAAGGGGAGGGTGGGATGGTTTGAGAGGGCAGCACTGGAACATGTATATTACCATATGTGAAATAGATGACCAGGGCAAGTTCGATGCATGAAGCAGGGCACTCAAAGCCGGTGCTCTGGGACAACCCAGAGGGATGGGGTGGGGACGGAGACGGGAGGGGGTTCGGGATGGGGGACACATGGTCACCCGTGGCTGATTCATGGGGATGTATGGCGAAAACCACCACAATATGGTGAAGTCATTATCCTCCAACTGAAATAAATTAACTAATTAAAAATAAAATTCTGAAATAGCAGACCGTAAGGAGGAGCTCGGGAGATGCTGTCGGAGCTTAGACGCTGTTCAGCGGGGACAAAGGCCCGAAGGCAGACAAAGACTGTCAGAGAGCCTGAGATGCGCTTACACACATTTTTCTCCAAACTGCCTGGACAGCAGGGTCCACGCATCCGGGGGCGGGGGGGGTGGGGTGGGGTGGAGAATATTCTACTGACCCGCACTCCCGTGGGATCGACAAAACCCCTGAGCCAAGAGCAGAGAGACGCTGAGACATGTTCACTACAGAGATGAAAGAGGCTGTTGGACCACAGCTTCCATGTACAGATGAGTGAACGAATCCACATCATGTTGCTGGAGCGCCTATACTATCTGAAGGTCTCCTAGGTATTCTCCACTCAGGGGAACTCTTTGCCCAGAAGGACCTGCTGCTCCAGACTGGGGAACTCTCTCCAGCTGTGCCCCCTGTCTCCCAGTCTCCTCCGTGACCCCGTGAGGCCTCCTCCCTGCATTCCTGAGGTCGCAGGAAATGGAATTCAAACGGAAGCGTGCATGTCACGACCGACTTGAGGCACAGATATTGCTTACCCGCAGGGTCAGGCCAACAAAACCCAAGCACGGGCATGGACCACCATTCTGTCGTCATGAAATTCGGCATCAAGATGTCATGGGTGTGGGTCTGCAAGAGCTCGAGATGTTACGGGTATGGGCCGTGGACTGCTCATGTCTGATTGCTTGTGTCTTGTGGGCATGGGTCATGGACTGCTATATCTGATGGCTCGTGTCTTCGTGGCTATGGGTGGTGGACTGCTCATGTCTGATGGCTAGTCTCTTCATAGGTATGGGTCGTGGAGTGCTTACGTCTGACAGCACTTATGTCTTCGTGGGTATCTTCGTGGGTAGTGTCTTCATGGGTAGTGTCTTCGTGGTCACGTCTTCGTGGGTAGTGTCTTCGTGGGTATGAGTTATAGACTGCTTATGTCTGATTGCTTGTATCTCCATGGGTACGGGTCGTGGACTGCTTATGTCTGACTGCTCATGTCTTCACGGGTATGGGTCGTGGACTGCTTATGTCTGATTGCTAGTACCTTCGTGGGTATGGGTCGTGGACTGCTTATGTCTGACTGCTCATGTCTTCACGGGTATGGGTCGTGGATTGCTTGTATCTGATGGCTCATGTCTTTGTGGGTGTGGGTCATGGACTGCTTATGTCTGACTGCTCATGTCTTCACGGGTGTGGGTCATGGACTGCTTATGTCTGATTGCTAGTACCTTCGTGGGTATGGGTCGTGGACTGCTTATGTCTGATGGCTCATGTCTTCGTGAGTATGGGTCATGGATTGTTAATATATCTGATGGCTCATGTCTTCACGGGCATGGGTCGTGGACTCCTTATGTCTGACTGCTCTTGTCTTCACGGGTATGGGTCGTGGATTGCTTATGTCTGATGGCTCATGTCTTTGTGGGTGTGGGTCATGGACTGCTTATGTCTGACTGCTCATGTCTTTGTGGGTATGGGTCGTGGACTGCTTATGTCTCATTGCTCATGTCTTCACGGGTATGGGTCGTGGATTGTTTACGTCTGATTGCTCATGTCTTTGTGGGTATGGGTCGTGGACTGCTTATGTCTGATTGCTCATGTCTTCACGGGTATGGGTCGTGGATTGCTTACGTCTGATTGCTCATGTCTTTGTGGGTATGGGTCGTGGACTGCTTATGTCTGATTGCTCATGTCTTCACGGGTATGGGTCGTGGATTGCTTACGTCTGATTGCTCATGTCTTTGTGGGTATGGGTCGTGGACTGCTTATGTCTGATTGCTCATGTCTTCACGGGTATGGGTCGTGGATTGCTTACGTCTGATTGCTCATGTCTTTGTGGGTATGGGTCGTGGACTGCTTATGTCTGATTGCTCATGTCTTCACGGGTATGGGTCGTGGATTGCTTATGTCTGATTGCTCATGTCTTTGTGGGTATGGGTCGTGGACTGCTTATGTCTGACTGCTCATGTCTTCACGGGTATGGGTCGTGGATTGCTTATGTCTGACTGCTCATGTCTTCACGGGTATGGGTCATGGATTGTTTATATCTGATGGCTCGTGTCTTCACAGGCATGGGTCGTGGACTGCTTATGTCTGACTGTTCGTGGCTTCACAGGTATGGGTTGTGGACACTGCTTATGTCTGATTGCTCCTGTCTTCGTGAGTATGGGTCATGGAGTGCTTATATCTGATGGCTCATGTCTTTGTGGGCATGGGTCATGGACTGCTTATGTCTGACTGCTCATGTCTTCACGGGTATGGGTCGTGGATTGCTTGTATCTGATTGCTCATGTCTTTGTGGGTATGGGTCGTGGACTGCTTATGTCTGACTGCTCATGTCTTCATGGGTATGGGTCGTGGATTGCTTATATCTGATGGCTAGTGTCTTCATGGGCATGGGTCATGGACTGATTATGTCTGATTGCTCATGTCTTTGTGGGTATGGGTCGTGGACTGCTTATGTCTGACTGCTCATGTCTTCACGGGTATGGGTCATGGACTGCTTATATCTGATTGCTCATGTCTTTGTGGGTATGGGTCGTGGACTGCTTATGTCTGACTGCTCATGTCTTTGTGGGTATGGATCGTGGACTGCTTATGTCTGATTGCTCATGTCTTTGTGGGTATGGGTCGTGGACTGCTTATGTCTGACTGCTCATGTCTTCACGGGTATGGGTCGTGGATTGCTTGTATCTGATGGCTCATGTCTTTGTGGGTATGGGTCGTGGACTGCTTATGTCTGACTGCTCATGTCTTCACGGGTATGGGTCGTGGATTGCTTGTATCTGATGGCTCATGTCTTTGTGGGTATGGATCGTGGACTGCTTATGTCTGACTGCTCATGTCTTCACGGGCATGGGTCATGGACTGCTTATATCTGACTGCTCATGTCTTTGTGGGTATGGGTCGTGGACTGCTTATGTCTGATTGCTCATGTCTTCACGGGTATGGGTCGTGGATTGCTTATGTCTGACTGCTCATGTCTTTGTGGGTATGGGTCGTGGACTGCTTATGTCTGATTGCTCATGTCTTCACGGGTATGGGTCGTGGATTGCTTATGTCTGACTGCTCATGTCTTCACGGGTGTGGGTCGTGGATTGCTTATATCTGATGGCTCATGTCTTCGTGGGCATGGGTCATGGACTGCTTATGTCTGACTGCTCATGTCTTCACGGGTATGGGTCATGGACTGCTTATATCTGATTGCTCATGTCTTTGTGGGTATGGGTCGTGGACTGCTTATGTCTGACTGCTCATGTCTTTGTGGGTATGGATCGTGGACTGCTTATGTCTGATTGCTCATGTCTTTGTGGGTATGGGTCGTGGACTGCTTATGTCTGACTGCTCATGTCTTTGTGGGTATGGATCGTGGACTGCTTATGTCTGATTGCTCATGTCTTTGTGGGTATGGGTCGTGGACTGCTTATGTCTGACTGCTCATGTCTTCACGGGTATGGGTCGTGGATTGCTTATATCTGATGGTTCGTGTCTTTGTGGGCATGGGTCATGGACTGCTTATGTTTCATAGCTTGTGTCTCCGCCACCCCAAACCCCCCACCCATGTGAAATAGCATACATTTCACACGCCAATAATTCTGAATTCTGTTAGAGGGGATTTCTTGGACTGCAGAATCACTGAAGTAGGGCTTTTAGTTCAGAAACGCCGTTCACCCAAGGGACAGCAGAAGCCAAACAGCGTGCTACAGATGACGGGCTGGAGACATACGGACCGGAGAGGTGTGTCTCAGCCTCGACATTCCCTGAGAGAGCTCACCAAAACGCAGTCACACTAACCACATCTGTGAGGCTCTGTTGCCTCTCCTTCAACAGTGATGAGAGTCTAAATACTGCAGACTTCTCGAAGAAAGACACATATCCATGCACAAACATGGATCGCATGAAGAGTACTTCATACGTATTTGCAAATAACACTGACGGTAATCGCCTTTCAGTCACCAGAAGACGGCAACTTAACTATCATCTGTGATTGGGCAAGACGCTCTTTTACTCAGGGTAAAAAAGTGGCCCGTGCTAGAGTTCAGTAAACACTTAACATTTGGTTCGCTCTCACGCGAGGCTCTCTAGGGGAAATCCTGGTGGCCAGGGCATCAAGTCAGCTGTGGAGTAAGCAACGCCTCCAGCCATGGATCACGCTGTCTGAGAGGCCAGCATCTCATCTGTGCCCCCTCATGCCCTCCAGCCGCACAGATGTTGGACACTCACTGCCCATTTGTCCGTCCACGTGAACAGTTGGCCTCGGAAGACGTAACTAACATGCATGTCTCTGTTTATTGCAAACGTTGATTTCCCCCCCCCCCCCCCCGGGCGGTCAGGTGTGTGTGTGTGTGTGTGTGTGTGGAGGGGGGTCTTGATGGAACGTCCAGGTGTGTGGGAAGGAGGGAGGCAGCCAGGGCTTCATTCCCCCAGTGTCGATCCTGGGCGCTCATCCCTGATGCTGCTGGCGGGGCGCCCCCTCCCCACCCCATGCACCCCCAGACGCCGCGATAACAGCTAAAATCGTCTCCCGTCCTGCTTCTCCCGGTCGCACTTGCAGGACAGCCCTGATGACGAGCAGCACAGCTGCAGCCACGGCTTCCAGATCAGGTTCCCCAGGGACAGCTGGTTGGGGACGTCCTGCAGGGTCTGGACGTGGCGGGCCACCGCCTCCTGCATGGTCGCCAGGATCTCCTGGAACCGCGGCTCCGACGCCGGGGTTAACGGGTGTCTCTCCCGGGGGTCTCTGGAAATCTCAAACAGCAGGGGTGGGTCGTGGTAGGCGACATACTGCCCGTCACATAAACACACGCGGGTGTGAAAGCATCCGTTGGAACCCTCGGGGAAGAACTTGGGGGTGAAGAAAAAGGCTTTCCAGATGGACGTGCCTGTGGAGGGACAAGCACAGAAGTGGCTATGGTGGGGACAGGGTCACCACAGTCACCCCAAAGAGAGTGTGCACCAGAAAACCACCCTTCCGCTTCAAGAAGGCAGAGACTCAGTTATGGATGGACTGGATTTATCACACTTAAGGCTCAAAAAAGAGTAAGCGTCATAGCTAAAAGGAACAAAGAAAAAGCAAGAAAACATGCATTGTTATCTAACTGCCAAGGAGGAGAAGACAAAGCTGATTAGGCAATAGCCATTATAACGCAAAAACTGATTTTTCTTGGACCTCGCCTCTAGGGGGAGCCCCAAAGCTGCAACCACTGAAGATGTGGGCCCAAGAGCCCACATTGAGAGAGGCCCCCGCAATGAGAAACACACACAGCCCACTAGAGAAAGCCCCGCACAGCAACAAAGACCCAGGGCAGCCAGAAATAAATAAAATTTAAAAGTTTAAAAAACGTAAGTTCTGTGTGCCATTTGTTGCTGTTGTTCAGTCGCTCGGGCGCGTCCGACTCTTCGCAACCCCATGGAATGCAGCACGCCAGGCCTCCCCGTCCATCACCAACTCCTGCAGCTTGCTCAAACTCATGTCCATTGAGTCGGTGATGCCATCCAACCACCTCATCCTCTGTCGTCCCCTTCTGCCCTCAATCTTTCCCAGCATCAGGGTCTCTTCCAATGACTAACTAGCCAATATTAAAATTTCAGGAAAAAAAATTGATTCACAAACAAATAATTGTGAAATGACTGATTTACTGTTTATCCTACGATGCTATGAGCTTCTGAGAGCTGGCTCTGATAGAAATCTAGAAACTCCTTTCTACCCCTCCTGGGTAGAAAAAGGTGGCAGAGTTAATGTGTATAACCCAAGTGGAATTAGGTTCAGGCTGAAAATGTCCTTTTCCGCCTTACTCTTCCAGCTTTTTTTATAGAAAACCATAGAGACTGTCCCCCTAGAAAGCACCACACACCTACTTAACTCACTCTGATCATCTGTTTGTGTCGTGGAAACAGTGGTTTTGTAATTGCATGTATTGAGTGCTCAACCAAGGATTCAAATGCAAAATAAATTAATGGACAACCGAAGACAATTAACATGGGTGTCCACATTCTCCTCAAACACCCCCTGGCCCCAGACAGGCATATCCGAGGGTGAGTAAGGATAAATATTCCCTGAAGGAGGGCATGGCAACCCACTCCAGTATTCTTAGCTGGAGAATCTCATGGACAGATAATCCTGGTGGGCTACAGTCCATGGGGTCACACAGGATCTGACATGACTGGGCACACACACACACACACACACACACACACAGGTTTAAGGACCAGTCAGTAAATAAACCTCAGGCATCCTCACAGGGAGCAGACAGGTAGCTAGGACAAGCGTAGAACTAAGAACTAACTTCTCTGAAGATTTTTTTGGTATGCCATCGAGGCGTCTGCCTTTATATCACCCAATCTGGATTTTTAAAACCTTCTTATAAAAAGATACATTGTGCATTCTCTGTATAATTTCTTGAGACCACTGTGGATCTGTTCAAATGCATTTTATTACACGTGCCCGGCTCCACTGTCCTCAGAGTTTTCTAGGCAAGACTATACTAGAGTGGGTTGAAATGCCCTCCTCGAGGGGATCTTCCTGACCCAGGGACTGAACCTGCATCTCTTGCCATCTCCTTCACTGGCAGGCAGATTCTTTACCACTGTGCCACCTGGGAAACCCTAGGTTTATAAGATATGAAGCCTTAGTTCAGGGTCTGTTGTGTTGTTCACCAGGAAACCAAGAATTGACGGTCAAAGGTGTCATTTCAACAGAAAGGAGGCACCTACTGTCACTTTGCATTTCTAATATGTCTATTTAATCCTGTTTTTCAAATTTATTTTGATGATGTATTTCATCTGGGATTTCTCCATATACTACTAAAAAATTGTTGAGTTAAAAAAAAATTCTTTTGTTTGTTGTTAAAATTCCAGTGTACTCTGAAAAAGGTTGTTTTCTGTCTCTGTCACAGATAAATATTTTGACCACCACGGAATCTTAAACTCAGCTACAATTGAGATCCAATGACTAGAGAAAGGAATTAAACTTTACAGTGAGAACGCAGGGAAACTACAGGCAGCATTTTTTCAAAAACAAAAGTATTCTATGTAGCGATGCGAACAATAATTTGAATTCGGTTTAAATGATGCGTTAAAATTTAAGAGAAACTGAAAGTTGCTAAGTCGTGTCTGACTCTTTGCAACCCAATGGACTATACACAGGCCATAAAATTCTCTAGGCCAGAATACTGGAGTAGGTAGCCTTTCCTTTCTCCAGGGGATCGTCCCAACCCAGGGATCGAAGCCAGGTCTCCCTCATTGCAGGCAGATTCTTTACCAGCTGAGCCACAAAGGAAGCCCAAAATTTAAGAGAGTTATAGTTAAGCCACAAAGATGTTAGTGACTTATTACAGTTGCAGACGGTAAAGAATCTGCCTGCTGTGAGGGAGACCTGGGTTCAACCTCTGGGTTGGGAAGATCCCCTGGAGGAGGAAATGGCAACCCACTCCCGTGTTCTTGCCGGGAGAATCCCATGGACAAAGGAGCCTGGCGGGCTACAGTCCACGGGGTCACACAGAGTTGGACACGACTGAGCACCTAACACTTTCACAGGTTAAAAAAAAAAAAAAGTGACTCACTTTCTTTTCATTCACGAGAAAAGAAAGCTTCTGGTCCTTTGACAAAGTGGCAAATAGAATTTAATTGAGAACAGCCTGACTCCAGAGCTGGATCCCAAATTCAGCACTTTCCAAGCTTCAAATAAGCCATGGTGCCCTGAGATTCCCTGGGGCTCTGAGGGGCGTGTAAAGCCCAGAACAGGCATCGCTGTCGTGATCACAATCACTTTCAGGGGCTCGGCCACAAGAAAGAGTTCCGAGGCCCCCTGGCAGACAAGCCTCGAGAATGAGCACTCGGGGCCCCCAAGAACAAAGAGGGGGACAATGCAAAGCCCACTGGGCTGTCCACGGAGGCATCAGAAGAGCATTCTGCAGATTAACGATGCTTAATCCCTCCTAACAGATGCCAGTCTGCTTTGCGAATCACATCCCCTTTCATGCAAGGATTCTTGTGGGTCTAGACCATGTCCTGGGGACACATCCTTTATTTTGAGCTTGGAACAGCTGTATTGTCTTGCTGGCTCATTGCATACAATCCGCATGAGCTCTCCCGCCCTTTCTGTTGGCTCTGACAGGCTGGGTTCCAACGCGCTATGCAATCTCATAGCTGTGGGAAGCCGGGGGTGGCTGTTAACCTCTCAGGGTCCCTTCTCCTTTTCAGATTTACTGTGGGTTAGTCTCTTCACTCGTGCCTGACTCTTTTGTGACCCCATGGACTGTAGCCCGCCAGGCTCCTCTGCCAATGCAATTCTCCAGGAAAGAATATGGAGTGGGTAGCCATACCCTTCTCCAGGGGATCTTCCCGGCCCAGGGGTCGAACCCAGGTCTCCTGCACTGCAAGGAGACTCTTTACCTTCTGCGCCACCAAGGGAACCCCTCTTTGAATGTAAAGCTGCCAGCAATCTAAGATGAGACCGCTGCTTTCCCGCTGGTCTTCAACCTGTTGCCACTGCAATACAAGTCTTAAGACACTTTTTTCCACCCCCACCATCTTCAGGATTCTTAAAGAACATGAACAACAAAATTGACAGGGCTTCCACACACTGGCTCTTAATTTATCACTCAGATTTAGATGGCCCTTGATGAATGCGGTTTAACCGCTTGTCTTGGCAAGATTAATTTTGTGGGGGACTCTGTGTATGTATCACAGTAGCCAAATATAGTCACATGGGGGCTGAGGTCTTAGCAGCGCTTCCCGCTACAAACTGCCACCTTGGAGTGCTTCGAGAGGCATTGTGGGACCTCCCAGGTGGCTGAGTATTAAAGACTCCACCTGCCAATGCCGGGGCCATGGGTTGGATCCCTGATCTGGGAAGATTCCCACATGCCTCCGGGCAACCAAGCCCAGTAGCCGCAGCTTCTGAGGCCACATGCGGCAGCTACTAGAAGCTCACACACCCGAAAGCCTGTGCTCCAAGCAACAAGAAGAAAAGCAGGCAGCAAAAGAAGAGAGTAGCTCTCACAGCAAAGAAGACCCAGCACAGACAAAGAATAAATAAAATAAAATTACCTTTAAAAAAAAAAGGCAGCATTTCAAAGACATCTCTGTTTCCCCCCACCGTGAGCCACCCACACCATCCCCTGGGACCCTCAGCTGACCCCCTCAGCAATCTTGATGTCATCTACTGAACGTGTTACGGGGAAGGGCGGATTTCGATTCCTCCTTGCATCTGTTTCCTTGCCTTTAACCTTTGCTCTCCATTGCTCTGATTATTCTAATCATTCATTGGAAGGACTGTTGCTGAAGTTGAAGCTCCAACACTTTGGCCACCTAAAGCAAAGAGCCAACTCACTGGAAAAGACCCTGATGCTGGGAGGGATTGGGGGCAGGAGGAGAAGGGGACGACAGAGGATGAGATGGTGGGACGGCATCACCGACTAAATGGGCATGAGTTTGAACAAACTCCAGGAGATGGTGAAGGACAGGGAAGCCTGGCGTGCTGCAGTCCATGGGATCACAAAGAGTCGGACACGACTGAGCGACTGAACTGAACTGAACTGATGTTAGTTCAGCCTCAGTCTTCAATACGCCGTAGCTGACCTTTCAGATTTAACTTCTGATCTTCAGATAAAGAAGGGTATCCAACCAAGGCCCACTGAAATGATTAGCGAAGACAAAAACCAGCTCAGCCTATCCTATGCTGTTTAATTCCTAAGACAAAAGTGGCTCTACTTAGAATGTTCTCTCTTCTACCCACTCCCGTATCCTTGCCTGGAGAATCCCCTGGACAGGGGAGCCTGGCGGGCTACAGTCCACGGGGTCACAAAGAGTTGGAGATGACTTAACTGCAGCAGCTACTTTACAGACTTATATTCATCTTCTCACAACTCTGCACCAGAAT